CATTGCTTTACTTGCATCCCACATATTTTGGTATGTTGTATTTTTGTTCTATTCTGTGTATATTTTAATTTCTTTGAGACTTCCTCCTTGGCACATAGATTATTTAGGACTGTGATTTTTAATTTCCATACATTTAGAGGTTTTCTTGTTGTATGTGTGTATTCATTTTTAGTTTGATTCCATTATGACAGGAGATCCATACTCTGTATGATCCCATCCTTTTACATTTATTGAGGTTTGTTTTATGGCTAGGATATGGTCTGTGTTGTTGAATGTTCGATGGGCTCTTGAGAAAAATGTGAATTCTGCTATTTTGGGGTGGAGTTTTCTGTATATGTAAATTACTGTCAGTTAACTGTGTTTCTCAGATCTTCTATATCCTTGCTTATTTTCTGTCTAGTAGTTCTATCAGTTGCTGAGAGAAGGGTGTTGAAGTCCTCAACTATAATTGTAGATTTGTCTATTTCTCCTTTTAGCTCTATCTTAAAAGTCCTTATTGTTAGGTGTGTGCATATTTAGGATTGTCATGTCTTCCTGGTAGATTGATCCTTTTATCATTATGTAATGTTCTTCTTTGTACTAATTTTCTTTGCTGTGAACTCTGTCTGATATTAATACAGCCATTTCTGTGTTTTTAAAATTAATGTTTACATGGTATATATTTCATCATCATTTTACCCTAAAGGTACTGATGTTGTTGGATTTGAAGTAAGTTTCTTGTGAATAATATATGGTTGCATCATATTTTTTTATTTACTCTGCCAATCTCTGCCTTTTAATCGTGGTATTTAGACCATGTACATTTGGGGTAATTATAGTTAAGGTTTAAATCTACCATTTAATTATTTGGTGTTTTGTTTGTTTGTTTGTTTCCTCTATTTCTTGTTTATTTGTTTCTCTTTTCTTGCCTTCCTGTGTGTTACCTGAAAAAATTTTAAGGGTCTGTCTTGATTTATTTACAGTGTTTTTGAATGTATTGCCTTCTATAGTTTTCTCAGTGATTGTTCTGGTTATTACAATATACACATGTTTCTTATCACATTCTAGTGGTATCAGTATTTTACCACTTTGAATGAAGTGTAGAAATGTTACTTTCACTTAGGTTCCTTTACCCTCCCTACTTTTAAATATCATTCTCTTGAGTATCAGATGGTGTTATAACTTTTGTTTCAGTCATTGTATACGATTTAGAAAACTCATGAGGATACTGTTTGGTATTTACTCATATATCTATTCTTTCTGTTGTTATTTCTTCCTTCCTGATGCTCAAAAACTCTTTAAAACCTTTTCCTTTTTATTCAAAGTACTTCTTTTAGGTATTGTTTATGATTATGTCTTAGTTTCTCTTCATCTGAGAACATTTTGATTTCACCTTCATTCCTGATAAATATCTTCATTCCTGATAGATAGTTTCATTCCTGATAGGTAGTTTCTCTAGGTATAGAATTTGTAATTGAAAATCTTTTTTTTATTATTTGAAAAATGTGCTTCTTCCTTCTTCATAGTTTCACATGATAAATCTGTCATTCGAATTGGTATTCTTCTGTAGGTAATGTTTCATTTCTCTCTGGTTGCTTTCAAGATTTTTTTCTTTGTAGCTTTCAGAAGTTTCATAATTTTTTTCTTTCTTTTAGTTTTTTCTATTTGTGGTTTGCTCACCTTCTCTTATCTTCTGGAAAGTTTAGGGACTTCTCAGCTATTGTTTCTTTGAATACTCTTTTAGCCCAATTAGTTTTCTCCTTTCCTTCTGTGACTCCAAAAGTTGGAATTTTTGTTATCGTTTCACAGTTTCCTGAATCTCTATTTCTTTCTTTTCAGTCTGTTTTCTCTCTAATAAGACTGAGTAAATTCTGTTCTTTTCTTCAGAAGTTCACTAATTCTGTCTTCTGTCATCTCTGTTCTATTCAACCCATTTAGCCCATTTAAAATTTTGGTTATTATTCTTTTCAGTTCTGTACTTTTCATGTGGTTCTTTTTTGTAACTTCTCTTTCTTTGCTGAGATTTTTATTTTTTTTTCATTTTCTTTAGAGAAATTATAATTGTTTTTTTAAAAGTTTTGATTGAAGTTTATTCTTGCTTTTAGTTTTTCTGAGTTTTCCTTAAAAACATGAACTTCTTTTTACTAATGGCACTTATTATAAAATAGCAAATGATCATAGTAGCAAATTTGGAATATATGGAATGGAATTATAAAGAATTTAAAGATCACTTATAATTCCATCATCCAGGAAAGTTGTATTCTTCTAGTACTCCCTCTTACTGTTAAAAACATCATATATTAATATGTAAGTGAAAACATAAAATTAATCATACTTTATCTACTATTTTGTGCCCTTTTCACCTGTTTATATAATGAGCATTCTTCTATGTCATCAAATATTCTTTTTTTAAAAAAAATTATTTATTATTATTATTATTAATTTTTACAGTCTAAGATGTTGTGGAGCAGTTGGGTAGGAGGAGGAGAGGGGATAGGGTGGGAAGAAGAAGGGTGGGCATGGTTGAGGCCCGTGGCAACCCCCTCATTCTGGCTCAGGAGCCTGGGGTGCTTCCAGTGGCAGCTCTGTATTCATCGCTGGGCTCAGTAGTCATAGCTGGGCTGGAAGTGGACATCCAGGGGGCATGGCTGAGGCCCTCAGGTACCCCCCCCCGGGCTCATGTGTAATTGCTTGCTTGAAGCATTTTTATGATAGTTGCTTTAATGTTCTTGTAAGATAATTGCAGCACGTGATTCATCTTGGTGTTGATTGCAATTTCTCATTGAAGTTGTAATTTCCCTGTTTCTTTGTACGATGAGTGATTTTTTTTTTATTGTATCTTGGACATTTTGGCTACTATTTTAGTAGATTCTGGGTCCTATTGAAATTTTTATTTAGCAGTCATCCTACTTTGGGTTTAACACAGAGTCCTGGACTACTTTGTGAACTGTGGTTTTAATGGCAGTCTAATTTTCAGAGCCCTTTTGATCATATTTTGATCTGCTTGTGTCATTGCATGCTGCTGGGCCACAAGTGGTCCTTGCTGATGGTGCTTTAGGGACTGAAAAGAGCTTCCCAAGTCTGAACTGTCTGGTGTAAGTATGAGAGTAGAATCACTGATCCATGGGATGAAGCTCTGTGACCTGGGTGCTTGTTGTGGCAGGATCCCCTGCTTCCTATGGCAGATGGAGAATACTTCCTGAGCCAGCTGTTTGTTATGGCAGGATCCCCTTGCTCATAGGGGTCAGAGTGCACTTAACAGGCTATCTACTTGTGGTGTGATTTCCTCTTGTCGATGCCCTTGGCCTCATATGTTGCTTTGTGTTGCTTTGCCCCCCATGGATTTGTCACTCCACTTCCCCTGGGTGATGGAGCTGCAAAGGATTACCCAAAGCCCAACTCTTCTGAGCAGTGAGAAGCCCCGAAGGGGTTAAGTTCCCTGGGACCTTCCAGTGAGAGGCAACCCTTCCTCGGGAAGTTAACCCCGAATTGGGGTTTTCTTCCTGCATTTATTTTCCAGACCAGGAAGTTACAGGAAGAGAACATATGTGGGGTTATAGTTTAACAATATAGGCTGGTAACTTTCAGTGAAACAAGTCAGATGACATTTCATTAGACAATTAAGTGATCTTACAGCAATTTCTCAGTATCTTTACATAACAATCAGTAACTAGTCTGTCTTTGAGCCAGCAACCTGCTGTGCCACAATTCTTATCTTGCAACAAAGACTCAATAACTTGGGGAAAATTTCCTGTTCTTGCAAGGTCAATATTTGAAACTGCAAGGCTTTGGAAAACCAGGCCCTGTGAAGTGCATGTGCTTTATAGTATATTCCACACTCATGGTGTCTCAGGTGAGGAAAGGTAGTGCTGCTGAGGATGATGAGTGCTTTCCCTGGCTGCTTGTTGACAGCGAGGTTTCCAATTGAAACACCTTGGTGTTTCTCCTGGGCTTACCTGGTGGTGTTGGTGGCAATCCTGTTAAATTCAGGAGAGGAATCAACCTACCTAGGCTCTTTTCTGTTGCTGTCTTGGGGGTTGGGAAATACCAGGCCTGGGTTATTTTCTTTTTTGGGTGGCATGGGGGTGGGTCATAAGACTCCCTGTAACTCTGTTGTTCCTCCAGTTTTGGGGTCTCTAATCAGTTTGACTTTTTTTGAGCTTTCAGAGTTTTCCTTTGGTTATATTTTATGTTATTTCCAGGTTTCATAGTTGTACTTAGTGGAGAGGAGGAGGAAAAGACCAAAAGTCCACTGCTCATTTTTTAATTACAATGTGTAGAACTTATTTGGATCTGAATTTAAATAAGCTGTAAAAAAAGTAAAATAATTTGATATTTTTGAGTGATTAAAAACTTGAAAATTTGGTTTTTGATTTCAAAGGTTCGTGGTAATGATGTTGTGATTGTGTCCAAGTAAAAGATTTTATCCTTTAGAGCTATGTACTAAAATATTTACACATGAAATTATGAGATGCATAGGATTTGCCTCAAAGATAATATATATGGGTTTGTGTATAGGGCAAGAGTGGTCATTGGTTGATGGTTGTTAGTATGGTGATGAATACATGGGACTCAGAATACGTTTGTGTATAAGAAGTTCTCCATATTTAATAGTTTTTTAAAGTTTAGCTTTGGTTTATTGAACACAGGTTAAGTATTAGGGTGGAAAGAAACTTGCCTGATTTATATTCTTTGTACCTAGTTTTTGAGTATTGGTGAAGCCAACATGATATAGGCTACGAAGTTTTAACACATTTGCTTATAAGGTGAAGAAGTATTAAGGTATTTATAATGTGTACCTCAATTCTGATTGATACTCTTACAGCCCCAGGAACCATTTGGTTGCTTGTGGACAAGTAATTATTATGAAAGTGTTTTTTACCCTGCAAGAGTTAATGTGCTTTCTCTAAGCAAGTGCTTCTCTACTCACCAGGATCTGAATAGTTCCAGATTTGACTTTTCTATAAGATCAGTATTTTCATATATTGATAATTTATTCATTCTTATTATTTCTTTTACAGCTTTCTGTTCAAAAACAGGAAATGGAGATAAATGAAGATGGAATCCCGAAAGTGGACCAATTTCATTTGGTATGTGAACTTTTGGTCATTTACTGGTTTGAAACGTGGAATTGGTGTGTAGCAGTAATGTAAACTTACGTATTTGACTGAAAATTTCCTCGAATTATTGTAGGAGTCCAAAATAGCATCCACAATAAAGAAGTATTGAAGAGAATTCAAGTGCCCTACTTACACCACTTGCAGATAATTAACTTGATACTGCTGGGTTGTGTGTTTGTCACACAGTTTATATAAATAATTTAAGTAATAATTAAGGAAAATATTGCTTACTGTATGTTCCAAGATATTATATTAAAATTAAGGTTTTAGTATAACTTAGTTTTTTATAAGCACCCAACTGTATCTTTTCTTTTTCATTCATCTGTGTCATTTGAGATTGCTTTGTCATTTATATATGCATCATGCCAACATATTTTGAGTACCTATTCTGTAGCAGGAATTGAACCAGGTGCTGGGATTACAAGGATTGTAGCACTGAAAATGAAATTAACAATTTAGAAATGTGAACGAGTAAATAACCCAAATCTATACATAGAGTATTAAAAAAGTACTTTGGGAGAAGCTGATTTTTAATTCTGCAGAGAAAGGGAGAAAACAGTATGACTAGATATTAAGAGATTAACTATGATAGTAAAAGATTCTATAAAAGTATAATGATCAGACTCTAAAAGTTCTCACACCATTTTGATAGCTTGGGGTACAACAAAGGAATATATATAATTTTGTTTGATTCCACTGTCCTCTAACATTGTCCTCTTATTTGACCACAGAAATAGTTTGTCTTATAATACTTACTAATATCCCATGAATTTGTTTTTTAAAAAAACACACCTTAGGAATGATGCTTAGGAGCTTTGCCACACTTCTTGGGTATTAGTTTTCTTTCACAAGCTGCAGTCAAGGTGTTGGCTGGGCTGTAGTCATCTTAAAGCTTGACTGGGAAAGAATATGCTTCCAAACGCACATGATTTGTAGGATTTAATTTCTTTCATTTTGTTAGACTCAGGGCCTCAGTTCTTCTTTAGTTGTTGGCCAGAAGTTGTTTTCACCTCTTGCCCATGTTTCCAGCACAGCAGCTTGTTTTATCAAAAAGAGCATAAGCAGAGAAGGCAATAGATAGACTCTGTTAGCTAGACAGAAACAGTTTTTCATAGCAAGATCACAGAAATGACATCCCATCACTTTTGTTGTTATCTTTGTTAGAAGCAGTTCTCCAGGTCCAGCCTGCAGTCAAGGGGAAGGGATTACATAAGGGCATGAATACCAGGAGGCTGGGGCTATTGGGGGCAATCTTACAAGTCTGCCTACCATATGGTGAAACCTGCCGCCTACGTGCTAGGCACTCTGGTAGGTGTATGTATAATGAAGGTGAATACATACACAGTCTCTGTTTAATGTGGGTGGCTACTCATGGATATCAAATTATAAGAATCCTTGGCTTGGGTGGTATTTGCTTCTATGATCTGAGGCAGCCATTAGTGCTGGGAATAGGATCGCTTTTACCTACATTTTGCGATCACACATAGTTATCACACAAGTCAGGGCACTGTACTCTGTACATTATAGATGCCATACCACAGTGGAGAAAAATATAAATTTGTGGAATCATGCAGTTAAAAGAGTTATTAGAGGATAATTAACTCACCATTCCCATTCTGCAGAAGAATTTCTTCAATAATATCCCCAGCAGATGACATTCAGCCTTTGCTTAAGTTCAGGGTAACCCATTTCACTGTTGTACAACTCTGTTTATTTTAAAATTAATTTCTTCAAATAGTTAACATATGTATGATGCAAAATTCGAAAGGTACAAAAAGAAGCACATACTGTGAAAAGTTACTTTCCTATCAATGTGACTATCCAATACCCAGTTTCTTTTCTCAGAAACAACAGTTATTGCTAGTTTTTTGTGAATCTTTCCAGAAAAGTCTACGTATGTATCTATCCTTTCAAGAATAGACTGTTGTTTTATTAAGTTTAAGAATGTTATGTCACTATATATGGTCTGTAAGCTCAGTGAGGGCAGGGACTTTGTATTACATGTCACTGTGTCCCTTGTGTCTATAGCAGTGCCTAACACATTGTAGGACCTTAATATAAAATACTTATTTCAATTAAATATTAAAATATTTTAATTAAGTATTAAAATATTTGTTGAATGAATCTTGCTTCATTATATTTTGTCTGGTGAATGTTCTTCATCTGTCATGTCTTGGACCCATTTTTTTCCTCCATCCCTTCCCCTATGTTTTTAATCCTTCCAGAAATCATCTTTGTGTATGGTATATGAAATAAAGATCTAATTTTATGTTTTTACTTGTGGACAGATGGTTCATTCAGTACCATTTATTGAATAGTCTGTCATTTTCTTCTGATAAATGATCCTACTCTGTCCTATGCCAAGTTTCCATATATGAATCTGTTTTGGGTTTTATTCTCTCTATTGATTTGTTTTTTGATTCATGTGCTAGTACCGCACTGTTGTAAATACTGTATCTTTAGAAAGAGTTTTGGCTTTCTTCCTTAGTTTTTTCTTCAATGTTGTTTTGGCCATTATTGGTACTTTATTCTTCCAAATGAATTTTGGCACCAACTTAAGTTCTCTGAAAAACATTGCTGAGACTTTGGAGTTATATTGAATTGATAGGTTAATTGGAAGGAGAATTGCTATCTTAATGATACAATATTTTTGTGGTTGGGAAAATTATACTTTGTTTATTTAGGACTTTATTATTATTTTACTTTTTTACTGTTTTGCATTGATTCTAAGACAGATTTTATTATTACTTTTAACAGTTTAATATTTCTGAAATTGGGGTGTATCTTACAATCAAGGTCTTTTTATCATAGTTCATAGTATGATTTGCAGTATTTTAATTCCCTTATTGTTTTAATGTGTCTTAAATTCAATGGAATATGGCATACCTTTTAATAAATTTTTATAGTCATTTTTAAAGTTATTTTGAGTTATTGAGAAATAACTCATCCACCTTACAATTTATCCATTTAAAGCATATAACTCAGTGGTTTTTAGTATGTTCATAGACATGTCCAGCCACCACCATGGTCAATTTTAGAACATTTTCATCACCTCAGAAATAAACTTCATACTCTTTAGCTATCACCCACCTATATCCTCATCCCCCCACTTCTTTCTTTTGCCTGTGGTTTCCAGTTGTCCCAGCACAGTTTGTTGAAAAGACTGTTCTTTCTCCGTTGAATAGTCTTTGCACCTTGTCAAAATTAGGTGACCATAGATACATTTATTTCTAGACTCTCAGTGCTATTCCATTGATCTGTCTGTCCTTGTGCCAGTACTACATTGATTATTTGCTGATTTGTAGTAAGTTTTGAAATTGGGGAATGTGAGTCCTCCTACTTTGTTCTTTTTCAGGATTGTCTTGTCTATTCTAGGTCCCTGGCATTTTCATATGAATTTTAGAATTTAGAATTGGCTTGTCAGTTTCTACAAAGAAGTAAGTTGAGATTCAGATAAGGACTGCATTCAATCTGTAGATCAGTTTGGGGAGTATTGCCACCATAAATATGTTAAGTCTTCTGATTCATGAGTATGGGATGTTTTTACGTTGATTTAGATATTTAATTTCTTTCAACAATATTTTGTAGTTTTCTTAGAATAACTTTTATGCTTCTTTTATTAAATTTATTCCTAAGTATTTTATTTTTCTGATGCTATTGTGAGTGGAATTCTTTTCTTAAATTAATTTTTAGATCATTCATTGCAAGTGTATAGAAATACAATTGACTTTTGTATATTGATCTTGTATTCTGCAAGTTTGCTGACCTCATTTATTAGTTCTAGTAGTTTTTTAGTGGATTTCTTAGTCTGTATATATAAGACCATGCTATGTAGAAATATTTTTATTTTAAAAGTCTTTTAAAAAAATAAAAGACTTTTATTTTTTTTCTTGACCAAATGGCTAGATCCTCTTGTACAGTGTTGAATTGAAATAGTAAGAGCAGACATCCTTGCCTTGTCCTGATCTTAGGGGGAAAGCATCCAGTCTTTCATCATTAAATATGATGTCAGTTTTGGGTTTTTCATAGATGCCGATTTAGCAGGTTGAGAAAGTTCCCCTCTATTTCATTCTGTTGAGTTTTTTTCCCCTCCAAATTATGAAAGGGTATTGGGCTCTTTCCTACCTCAATTAAGATGATTATGTGACTTGTTTTTTATTCTGTCGCATTGTAGTACATTAATTAACTTCAGAATGGTAAACTGACCTTGCATTCCTGGGATAAATCCCACATGGTCATGGTGTACAATCTTTTTAAAATATTGCTTGATACTGTTTGCTAGTATTCAGTTACTAGATTCAAGTTGTTGAGGATTTTAAAATTTATATACATGAGAGATACTAGTCTGTAGTTTTCTTTTTTTATGTCTTTATCTTATTTTCATTTCAGAGTGATACTGATCTCATAGAATGAGTTGGGAACTTTTCCCTCCTCTCTTATTTTTTGGAAGAGTTTGTGAAGAATTGATGTTAATGTTTTATTTTATTTTAAAAGATGACCAGTAAGGGGATCTTTTTTTTTTTTTTTTGTCTTTTTTTACTGACCGGTAACGGGGTCACAACCCTCGGTGTCGTGCCCGTACTGGGGACCAGCAACGGGATCGCAACCCTCGGTGTTGCGCCCGCACCGCGCTCAGCCAGTGAGCGGGAACCGGTCTCCACATGGGATCCGAACCCTCAGCGGGAGCGCCGCCGCTCCAGTGCGCCACCGGGCCGGCCCACCAGTAAGGGGATCTTAACCCTTGACTTGGTGTTGCAGCACTGTGCTCTCCCAAGTGAGCCACGGGCTGGCCCTTAATGTTTTAAATGTTAGGTAGAATTCACTGGTGAAGCCATGTGGACCCAGGCTTTTCTTTGTGGGTAGTTATTAATTTAATCCTTTCATTTGTGATATTCACAATTCATATTCACAATTCAGATGTGATATTCACTATCCAGATTGTCTCTTTCTTATTGAGGCAGTTTTGGTAGGTTGTATCTTTCTAGAAGTTTGTTCATTTCATCTACATTATCTAATTTGTTGACATATAATTGTTCATATTTTCTTTTTCTTTTTCTTTTTGTTTATGGTGGCTGGCTGGCACAGGAATCTGAACCTGTGATCTTGGTGTTAGCACCACATTCTAACCAAGTGAGCTAACTGGTCAGTCCTCATATTTTATAATCCTTTTTTATTTCCGTAAGATCAGTAGTAGTAATGTCCCCTCTTTCATTTCATATTCCAGTAATTTGAGTCATCTCTCTTTTCTTGGTCAATCTAGATAAATTTTGTCAATTCTGTTGATATTTTTCAAAGAATCAGCTTTTGATTTTATTGATTTTTTTCTACTGTTTTTCTGCTCTCTATTTCCTTACTTTCTGCTCCAATCTTTATTATTTCCTTCCTTCCACTGGCTTTAGGTTTAGTTTGCAACATAAATTATTATGCCATTATCACACCGTATAAAAATTAACAATAATTTTTAATGTTACGTTTAAATTTCCCTAATTTTCTCAAATATATTTTAAAATAGTTGTGTTTTTCAAAATCAAGATTTTAACAAGACCCACATGTATCAGATTAATATACCTCTTAAATCTCTCTTGATTGGTAAAGTTCCCGTACACCTCCTTTCTTTTCTCTATGTCACGTATTTGGCGAAGAAACTTTTATTTCCCACATTTTGGAATTGGTTGATTGCATCCTTATGGTATTATTTCATATGTTTCTCTTTTTTACAGTTATAAAAAACCTGGCAGGTATGGAGGCTTGAATAAATTCAGTTGTTACAGCAAGTATATTTTATAGATGATACTTTGCACATCTAATTGTATCATATGATTTGGCATCTGGTTGTCAAAGTAAGATTGATCAGTGGGTTTGGGTAGAAAATTTCATTTATGTAGAGGTATATTTTTAGTTTTTATATTCTGTTCTGTTGGTTTGTTTATTCATATTTCAGTGCTACACTCAATTAAAACAGGCTTTGCAATATTCTTTAATACTTGGTAGGGCTAGTTCTTTCCTCATTGCTGTTTTTTTTATCAGAATTTTTGTGGCTATTCTTGCTTGTTATTCTTGTAAAAGAGTTTTACAATTAACTTGCCTAGTTTCAAGGAAAAAACTGATTGTATTTTTATTTGAATCATGTAAATTTTATAAATTAGAGAAAATTGACACATTTGTGCTGAGAGTCTTTTTTTTTGTCTAAGAGCATAAGAGTTTTATTCGTTCCAGATATACTTTTGTGGTTTTGAAGGGCAAGTGTTATTTTTTTTCATTTAGATTTTGTAATTTTTTTAGTTAAGTTTATACCTAGTGAACATACTATCTTTAAATATGCTTAAAAACATATTCTGTAGAGTGCAGTATGGATGTTGGCATTCTTTCATTTATCAGGTATTTATTGAATGTCTGCTATATCCCAGACACTGCTAGTTGCTGAGGATGAAGTGATAAACTAAATTTATGACCTTAAGAATCTTAGAGTCTAATGAGGACACTACCAGTAAACAGATAACTTGTATTCAGTGTGATATGTGCTCTGATTGGAGTAATCATAGGGGGCAAATACAAGGCATACCAAGGTGCCTTGGGAGATGGGAATAACGGAACAGCAACATCATAGATCATCAGGTTGCTTACAAGTGATAATACAAATAATGCTCTTTGAAATAGTGGCTAATAATAAATTCTGGCTCCCATAATGATGATGATAATGGTACTGGTGGTAGAAGGATTCCCAGAAGGGTTCACTTTAAAACTGAGACCAGCAACAGTTGACTAGGTGAAGATGGTTACCCTTCCAGGCAGAGGAGTCACAGTGTGAAATTTTCGTAGTGTCAAACTCTGACCCGTGCCCTATAAAAGATGGAAAAGGGGCAGTCATAAAATTTCCTTTATTGGTATTTCGCATGTTTTTCTTTTTTTTTGGAGAGACTTTTAGGTGTAGTTATCTTTTTTCCTTTTACATTTTTCCCTGTAATTCAATTCTGTTGTTTTATTACTGGAGGTATCCCTTTCTAATAAAAAATAGTAAAACTTGATAGGAATCTTTAAAAATATAAATAGAAAATTTTGATTTTAGCTCTGTATCACTGACCAAAACTGTTTTTGAATTGGATCCTCCTTTTTCATTACAAGATTGTCCTTTTGTTCATTTGTTTTGATTTTGTTTTTGTTTTGTTTGCAGGATGATAATGTCAAATCCCTCCTCTGTAGCTTGATACATTGTAGAAGTTCAATAACTGCTGAGCAAGTTTTGAATGCTGAATGTTTTTTGCTGCTGAAGGGAAAATCAATTCCAAACCCAGAAAAAGATATTGAATATACCCAATATAAAAAGGAAGAAGAATTAAAGATGGAGAACTTGGATAAATATAAGGGAAAGACAAGAAATGGTGAAGCCAGCTTTGAATGATAAGTTAGTATACTGCTGTTGTTACAGATGTTCCTTTTAAAAATGTTTAGTTTGTTTAATAAAAAAAAAATCTGGAAATGCTCTGGAACTAGTTGAGTTGTGTCTTTGGTATTCAGGTTGTGAATAATAAAAGATACTTTATGCAAGAAAATGGCTTGCTTTGAAATTTTGTTTAACTTGGAATTGTTAAGGAAGGAGTTTCTTGTCTTTAAAATACTTTTTGAAATTGAATAATCAGACTGTGACACTTGCAATGGGAAAAGTTGCTAGATTGCTGGACAAGTGCTACAGTTTTTCAGTATGTTGGCTAGCTGGTGATGGAGGCTGATACTTTTATTCAACAGATGATAGTTGGCATCTGCATTGTATCCAGTTTTGGAAATATAAACAAGACATATTCCTTACACTTATGAAGCCCACAGTTTGTTAAGAAATTCAGAGATATAAATGGATATTTTTATAGTACAATATAAAATTTCCAATGACAGCTCTGGCTTTATAGGATTATACTGGAGGGGTGCTCATCCTATGGAGGAAAGCTTTCTGGAGGTGATGCATTAGTTAAATCTTAAGGGGTAAATACAAAAGGTGAAGAGGGGTCAAGAGTATCTTGATTAGCAGAGAAAGCATGATGAAAACACTGAAGGGAGAAACAGTTGTTGGTTTAGTAGTATAAAATATAAGGCTGGGAATCATCAGATAAATGAGGGCTTTATAGGAAATTATAAAATGCCTATATCTAATTATTTTATAGGAAATGTGGAATCATTGAGGAATTATAAGCAGCTTTAGCTCTTCTGAAATTCATCTTCTATCTACCATCAGAATAGGAGGTAGGGAGACTAGTTAGAAGGCAGTTGTAAAAAAGTAGGTGAGAGATGATGAAAGCAAGATTTAGGGAAGTAGAAACAGATGAAACTTACGGGACACATATACAAAATGAATTGAGGCAAAATCAGTTCGACTTGGTAATTGAAATGTGCTGTATGTAGAGTAAGGTAGTACGGCAGAGTCTCTAGATGCCTTTTCAATATCCAGTGTTCCTTTCTTCCTTAGTAACAGATCCCCAGTTTTCTTCGACATGGAAGTGTACTCAGCAAGACTATATTGATCATTTTCTTTGTTAGTTGAGGCTTTTTGACTAAGTTCTTGCAAATAGGGCTCCTTAAAATGAACTGACAAAGCTGGGAGATGTACCCTTTTGCCTTTACCCCTTTCCTACTGCCTAGAAGCTAACGATGGATACAATTCGAGCAGTCCTCTTGGATTAGGAGGTGACCTTGGGATGCAAGCCATGAACCAGGATGATGGAGCAGCAAGTTAGAAGGAGCTGGTGTCCCTAGTCATTCTGGAGCCTCTGTACCAGCCTCAAGATTTCATGCAATTTGAGAAGATAAACTCCAACATCACAGTGTGATTCCTGTATCAGCAACTTCAGACTCACCTGGAAACTTTAGAAATGTAAATTCTTGGCTCCACTAAAGGCCTAATAAATCAGAACCTCTGTGGGGTGGAGCTTAGCAATTTGTATTTTAACAAACCCTTTAAGACATTCTTATGAATAATAAAGGAAACCACTGTTACATATTCAAGTCATCGCTACCTTTTGGCTTTCCTGTTTTATAGTAAAACTTAATTGATTCAGTAGTAAAGGCACAGCAGTTAGGTTTAAAGCAAACTTGGATAATTAAAGGGAAAAAGGGTAGACCACTTAATTCACACTCACTGTATTAAATAAATAATTAGGCACTCTTTACAATAGCCAAGAGTTGGAATCAGCCCAAATGTCCATCATCGGATGAGTGGATACGGAAAATGTGGTATATCGACACAATGGAATACTACTCAGCTATAAAAACGAATGAAATGCTGCCATTTGCAACAACATGGATGGACCTTGAGAGAATAATATTGAGTGAAACGAGTCAGGCAGAGAAAAAGAAATACCACATGTTCTCACTCATTGGGGGGAGCTAAAAAATAAATTAATTCACCCACATACACACACACAAAAAAACGGGGGGGGGGGAAGATATAACAACTATACTTTTTTGAAGTTGTTACAACAAGCATACGGAAAGGACATTCTTGGGGGGGAGGGGAGAGAGGGAGGAGGGAGGGAGGTGTCGGTGATGGGCCATAATAATCATATACATTGTATATTGACAAAATAAAAATTTAACGAAAAAAAATAAATACTTAGACCAGCATTCCCTAAGTATGTTCTACTGAATACTAGACTCTTGGGACGCTCACCACAAAAATGAATTGTGGCTAGTTGTTCGTGAAATAATGAATTCTAAATTGGAGATTAATTATGCATGTTAGATAGAAAGGTTCTAAAAAGTTCTGTAGTAAAGAAACCTGTTTAGTTTTATTTAGCCCAGAGTTTGCCAAAATAGACAGTGATCCTTCCTCCCTGCCCCCCCATAATACCTAGTAACCCCTCCCTTGTGAAACTAGTGAGAGGATCGGATTTTGTGGAATACTAAGTTAGATGGTATTTATTTTTATTTTATGTTTGAAAATGGCAATATTAATGATGAGAAGAGACAATTTCTAAGTATCTGTTTAATGACATAAATGTCTCTGGAAATGTGTGTATATTACATAAAGGTAACAATGTAAAGGCAAACGTGAATTATGCAGCATGTAATAAACGATAGGAAGAGCAACAATGTATGTTACCAAAAGAAGAGGAAGGGAAGATAGAGATGATGAGGTTGGGGAATAGACATTTGACTCTTTTTGTAGGAGCACAGTAGAATTCTGCCTCTTTGAAATTGGAAGGAGGGCATTCCAGGCCAAGGGAATTAAGAAAGCTCAATGGGTGGATTTGGGAAGGTGTGAGAAATTAGCTGGAGTGCAAGGTACTTATGAGGGAGATGAGAAATAAGCTTAGAAAAGTATTGTGGGGACAGATCATAGAGGATCTTGAGTTGCTCTATAAGGGATGAGACCCTCTTATAAAGTATGAACAGGTGAGTGTTTTAAAATAAAATAGCTAACCGGGGAGGATGATTTGGGGAGGGAAAGGTTGAAGGTAGTGAAAAAGTCAAGGATGGTGCATTTTACTTAAGTAATTGAGACAGAGAAAATGTCCTGTTTTAGGTCAGGGCTGAAAAAGGAAAGGATTAAAGGATTAAGAATGTAAACTCTGAAGAAGTTTAGGTGAAGTCTTTAGTCCATTTCATAGTATCAGTGCTAAGTCATTTCAGCACATGTATTTTTTTCCTAAGTAATAAACTTTATATCAGTTTTAGGTTTACAGAGAAATTGAGCAGAAACTGCAGATAGTTCCCATACCCCAATATTCTCCTCCCCACAGGTTCTCTCCTATTATTAACATCATACATTAGTGTGGTACATTTGTTACAATTATAAACCAATATTGATATATATCATTAACTCGGTTTTATAATAGGGTTTCTTTCCTCTTTGTGTCATATAGTTCTGTGGGTTTTGTCAAATGTGTAATGCCGTGTAATTGCCATTCCAGTATCACACAGAAAAGTTTGCCCTAAAATCCTCTGTTCTCCACCTTTTCATCCCTCTCTCCCTCCCTTCTCTCCTGAAACCCTTGAACTACTGTTTTTTTTTACCCCGTTACCTCAAGAATTGATCATTTCTTTGTGTTGGGAACATTCAAAATTCTCTCTTCCAGCAAATAGAAAGTATACAATAAATTGTTTTTAATTATAGTCAACCTACAGTGTGATAGAACTAGATCTTATTTCTACTATCTAGCTGTAATTTTGTATTCATTAACCTATCTCTCATTATCCCTTTTCCTTTTCCCTTTTTTTTCCAGCCTCTTGTACTATGAGATCATTTTAAAATTCCATATATGAGTGAGAACATGCAGTATTTGTTTCTATTCCTGGCTTACTTTACTCAACATAGGGTCCTCCAAGCTCATCCATGTTGCCATGAATGATAGGATTTGATTATTTTTTTATGGTTGGATAGTATTTCATTGTATAAGCCCATTTTCTTTATCCCCTCATCAAAAAGAAAGCTATAGACCAATATCCCTGATGAATGTAGCTGCAAAAATAATCAGCAAAATACTAGTGAGCTGAATCCAGCAGCATATTAAAGAGATAATTCACTATGATCAAGTGAATTATCACTATGATTTATCCCAGGGATGCAAGGATGTTACAACATACACAAATCAATAAACATGGTACATCACATCAGCAAAAAGGACAGAAACCATATCATCAGCTTGATGCAGAAAAAGCATTTGATATAATTCAGCATCACTTTATGATAAAAACTCTCAAAAAGTTAGATATAGAAGGAACGTACTTTAAGACAATAGAGGCCATATATGACAAACCCATAGCTAATATACTAAATTGGGAAAAGTTGAAAGCTCTTCTTCTAACTGGAACAATGCAAGGATACCCACTCTGTCCACTCTTATTCAATATAGTTCTGGAAGTCCTAGCCAGAGCAATTAGGCAAGAAAAAGAAAGAAAGGACATCCAAATTGGAAAAGAGGAAGTCAAATCGTTCCTGTTTGCAGGTGATATGGTCTTATATAGAGAAAAATCTAAAAGCTCCACCAAAAAACTCTTAAAACTGATAAATTCAGTGAAGAATACAAAATTAACATTAAAAAAATCAGTAGTGTTTCTGTACACCAACAATGAACTAGCTGAAAAAGAAATCAAGAAATAATCCCATTTACAACAGCTACTGAAAAAAAAATGGAATATAACCAAGGAGGTGAAAGATCTCTACAATGAAAACTACAAAATACTGATGAAAGGAATTAAAGAGGACACATAAAAAGTGGCATGGCATTCCATATTCATGAAGTGAAAGAAATATTGTGATAATGACCATACTATCCAAAGCAATCTACAGATTCAGTGCAGTCCCTGTGAAAACTCCAATGACGTTTTCCACAGAAGTAGAGAAAAAAAAAAAATCCTAAAATTCATATTGAACCACACAGGACCCTGAATAGCTAAAGAAACCTTGAGCAAAAAGAACAAAGCTGGAGGCATTATACTTTCTGACTTCAAAATAAACTACAAAGCTATTATTAATCAAAACAGCATGGTACTGGCACAAAAACAGACACATGGACCAATTGAACAGAATAGAGAACCCAGAAGTACATTTATGTATCTTTAG